CAGAGCCTCGGCCGGGCCCGCTTGGGAGTCGGAGGCGGCGGCGGCGAAAACGACGACGACGACGAGGAAGATGAGGAGGAGGAAGAAGAGGAGGAGGAAGAGGAAGATGAGGAAGCCCTCCTGGCCGACGAGGAAGAGCCGCCGCCTCAGCAGCAGCAACAGCAGGCCGGAGGCGCCCAGGGCCAGCCTCAGCCTCCCCCTCAGCCGGCCGGCGAGGAAGGCCCGGCCTTGCCTCAGCCCTTGAACGGCGCTCAGAGGGACGCCGAGGACGGAGGAGGAGGAGGAGGAGGCGAGGAAGAAGAGGAGGAGGAGGAGGAAGGCTCCGGCAAGGCGGCGGCGGCGGCAACAACAACCCCCGCGGCCTTGGAGGGAAGCGGAGAAGCCCAGCCAGGTGGAGAGCAGGAGGGTAAGGAAGGAAGGAAGGAGGGAGGGTGCCTGCTGGAGGAGGGGGGGTAAGAGAGAGGGAAAGGCCGCCGCCGGCCCTTCCCCTTCGGCCCCAGCGAAAGCGAAAGCGGCGGCCCGGGGGGGGGGAGAAGCGGAGGGGAGGGGGGAAGGCCCCGCGGGGGGTCTCCTCTGGAGAAAGTCGGGGGCTCGTCCCAGGCGACTGTTTGCCCCTCTTCCTCCCGCCCCTCCCTGGACCCGTCGTCGTTGGGTCGAGGAGGGGCTTGGTGGGGGGGGCAGGATTTCTCCCCCCTGGAGAAAGTCGGGGGCTCGTCCGAGGCGACTGTTTGCCCCTCTTCCTCCCCGCCCTCCCTGGACCCGTCGTCGTTGGGTCGAGGAGGGCTTGGTGGGAGAGGCAGAATTTCTCTCCCCCCCCGGTTTCTTTTTTAAATAAATGCTTCCTGCCCGCCGTCTTGTTGATGATTTTAGTTGTGTGTTTGTGCTCCTTAGGATCCCTGTAGAATCAGCTTGCTTTCCTCCCATCCTCCTTTCTTTAATCCTTTTCCTTTTTTTTCTTTCCTTTTCTCTCTTATTTGGTTTTTTTCCCGTTTCTCCTTTCCTTTCTTTCGTTCTTTTCTTCCTCCTTTCGTTCTTTCCTTCCTCCATTTCTCCGGCCCTTCTTCCTTTCTTTCCTTTTCTTCCTTCCTTTCTTCCTTTAATAATCGATTTACAACAGTAGATAGCATATACAATACAAAGTAATCAATGCACAAGGATTAGAACATTAGTAAAACAATAATAGAATATAAGCCTGTATTAATCATATTCTGGCCTAGTTTTGGATATATATATGCAAATAATGGCTAGTTTGTAGCTGTTCGGGCATAACAGGATTTTGGGTAGGCCACATCTAGCTTGCTAAGTTATAACACTAGCAAAAAGTCTTGCAGCATCATATTGGATTTGCCTTAAAGCTTTATGTCCTCTTTTAGTAGCCCTGTGCGTTTGTGTGTATGTGTTCGCGCGTGTGTGCACGTGCATTTGTGTGTGTGTGTGTATATGTGTTATTGTTAATAACACTGTGCCTGTTTTTAGTTGCTGATGTTGTGAGCTGTATGTTGTCTTCCCTCTTATTATAAGATATTTCCGAAGCAGTGTGTGGAACAGTCCAGTCTTTCGTGTTCTTGCATAGAAGTAACTTATATGGGGTTGATCCAGAACTTAGTGCTAGGTACGGTGCATGGTTTGTAGCCTTTTTAAGGTATAATGTAAATCCCTTTGAGATTGATAAGACTTGTTTCTGGTAAATATGTGTATAGTTTGTACCGGCACTATGTATTTCTGTGTGGACCTCAATAAGGGGTAAGGCCCTAATGAATAATAATAATGATGTGCTGTCAAGTTAGTTAAGACTACGGCGACTCTTTTCAGGTATTCTAGGCACAGAATACTCATTTCTGAGGAAAACGTGTATAGAATTTGAGTTACACAAGCGTGAAAAATGTGTTGTGAGACCTTGGAGGCCGATAGAATATAAATCAACGGAGAGCATTTTGGAGATGATCGAATAAGAATCGCTGTGTTATGGCTTGTTGAAAGATTAACATTTTTTTTTTTTGGTGGGCTAACAGAAGAATGTCTTGTAGGAAGTAGTGGCTGAAACATTGTGTTATCTGTTTGATAGTTACTTGCGTTTCTGAATTGTTATAGCATGCCATTTATATGAACGTGGACTATAGGGTCGCAGAATTTGTACCGGAGCTAGAGTGGTCCTCACCGACCAGATAGGGTAGGCTCGCAGAATTCGTACCGGAGCTAGATTTAGTCATGCTCAGAGTACTCCCATTGAAACCAAGATGACAAAGTTACTTATGCCTTTTGTCCTATTTATTTCAATGAGTCTGATGTACAGACAGTGAAATTTGCATCTCGTCTGTCCCGTAGTAGTAGAACTTACAGTGCAGTATCTCTGGTAGTGATTACAGGACAGAGACTTCTCTGTTGTTACTTTGTAAAAATGCATTAGATTTAGAAAGTTCTAATACCTGTAAAGCAACATCTGTTAAAAATCCTAGCCAACCCATAGGTGTCCAGTGGTCTGTATGCAGGTATTTTCTGTATGCGCACAAGTGGCACGGTTTAAAGAAAACGTGTATAGAACCATTGTAGTGGTTCAAATTCTGAGCAGTAGGTTTCTGGTCTGATCTTGCCTGTACCACCAGCTATTATTTTAGGGGTTGGTAAAGCAGCTGCAACTGTAGAGATGTTATTGCGACATCTGTCATCCCTTAATATTGGCTGCCGTGGCATTTAGAGGGCCTTAGTTTTCCTTGAGGGAAAGCTACAGTACTTGTCATTCCATCCTTCCCTTAACAGCAGATGTGGAGATCCATAGCCCTGCAACATGTTGAAATGTCACTCTCGTCAGCCCTAGCCAGTGTAGCTCCTGATCAGGGATGATAAGAGCTGGCTAGAGGACCTCAAGATCTGTTTTACATGGCTCCTGATCAGGGATGATAAGAGCTGTAGTCACACCGCATGGAAGGCTAGAGGACCTCAAGATCTGTTTTACATGACTTTAAATGCAGCTCACAGAGATAATGAAAGGAAGCTTAGGGTTCTAGCAAAGATGTCAGGATTGAACCAAGGATGTGAAGATGAATTACATAAGTTCCCAGTGTAACGAACTTTATGAGGCTATTGGGAGTCTTAAATGAATGGAGGTGTTCAGGCATGGCCCCCTTGGAAGCAGGTAGGATAAAAAATATGAATGACTTTGTAAGTCTAGTAGTGTATTAAATTCTTAAGTGTTCCCTTTACTCCGGGAGCTGTCTGAATCTGTCACGTGCTTTGCATGTTAATAACACTGTGCATAAACTGTAGTAACAGTGTCAGAATTGCTATTATTGCAGTTTTCATGTTTGAAAAAAAACTGTACAAAGATTGGCTGTGTAGTTTCCCCAATTTTGGAAACTATTTAGCAGTTTATATTAAGGCTTGTCTGGGACCTGGCAGCGCAAACATTATTTCAGTAATATTGATGGTCTGGAAAGAGGCAAGGGTCGTGTAAGGCATTCAGTTAATGTTGTGTCTTAAGCTCCTGCAGAGAGCTCGTAGCAGAGATGAGGTTTGAATATAAGGTTGCAACTCAAAATTTGTATTATTGCTGCAAGGAAGTTGTGGGCATTGGTTTTCTGAGCAGAGGTATAAAATGATCAATATTTATTTGAGCCTGGGTTTTGAAGAATGGACAGTTGGCTGATATTGCTGTGAAATTGCTGTCTACAGGTTTTGTGGATCACAATAGTAAGGTTTCCTCAGACTTAAAATCTCCAAGATTACTGCATTTCCCCTTTTTGGTAGATGGTTTTTCTTAATTAAAAAAGGGGAGAAAATACTGGTACTCAGGCATCACTGGAACAGTGCTTTTTCATTTATTAAGTGTATAACTTCTTTTAGTCCCTGAGATGTGTTTTCCAGGCTTAGTCACTTGAAACACACTGGTAGCATCTGTATCCATGGCTTACCTGAGAACTAAGCTCTGTCAAATCTTGGATTAGGCACAGGCAGTTCGTGGTGTGCAATTAAGTCACTTGTGGTATCTGGATATTGTACAATCAAGAGATGGATGACACAGGAAATCTAGTGGGAAAGCTACACCTGCTGCCGAGTATCCTCCACATGTGCTGGACTACAATCCCCATTATACCTAGGCAGCCATAGGCATTGTCTGGTGAAGGCTGCTGTAAATACAGTACTTGTTATTCAGAGGAAAACTTAATGGTTGGATTGTTCAAGGGGGCCACTCTGAACAGGGAGTAATATCCATTGAATAAAATCTGTTCTGTGCTGGCGAGTCAATTCCTACTTACCGTGTTCCCTTTTGCAGCAGTTGCGAGATAGAGGACTCAGAAGTGGTTTACCATTGCCTTCCTCTTGAGGCATTCTGGGGTAAAACACACCCAGAATGATGATCTACAAGTACTTATCCTGTGCGGCTCCTGAGTGGAATGAATATTTGTTGCTCATAGCACAAATCTGTCTTTCAGTATGTGCCTGTGAAGATTCTCACAGTTGCACACTGAAAGATACATTTTTAAAGACATTGATTACATTAATTAATTAATCTCTTTTTCAGAGATAAGCAGTCTTTCTTAGGAACCCCAGAATCCCATTGCAAAGCAATTAGCATGTCAAGGATAATATTGATTTATTCCCTCTTTGTTCCCCTATAAGATTTTTTTTTAAATGTTGAACTTTGCTCCTGGTGGTAAAAAAAGCCCTAGAGAAAGTAGTCATTTTGGTACAGGATGAAATGGAGAAATAGGAAGATACTCATTGGCACACAGCACTTATTCCCCAGAATATCTGTTTGAGCTGTCCTGTTACGGCTTAATTCTGCATTCATTATTCAAGTTTGAGGTCAAGCGAGAAACACATTTTCAGTGCTTAGGGTGTTTCAGTGTGCAATACTTAAGTAATACACTGGCTCCTGAGTAACAGATACTGTAATACCTTTTAAATCATATGGATATTTGATATAAAATCCAGAGGTGCTGAAAACCTTCACCCTGAGAACAGGAGAAGTTAAAACTCTCACCCAGAGGGCCAGAGTGACAAAACAGAAGCATATCTGCTTGGTGTAAGAATCAGTGATTCAGAAAGGTGATGCATAGCTTGTTTATAATTTCCCTCGTGTCCGGCACGAGGGATTTGGTCTGCTCTGTGGATTCATGATCAACATCTTATGCTTGTTTCAGTTCAAAGTAGGATAAGGCAGAAGGTCTGGTGTGGCGGGCCTGTTGAGTTTTTGGTTGCTTCTCAGCAAGATCTCCGCCAAGGTTACATATGGATGCCTTGCTTCACAGGCGCTGTGGAACCTCTTGTAGTAACATTTTCCCTCCTCTCGACCCGGCCTGGTACAAGTGGTGCCTCGAATTGCAAACTTAATCCGTCCCAGAAGATGTTCGTTAAGTTGAAAAGTTCATAAGTCGAATCAGCATTTCCCAATGGATTGCATTGAAAACCGATTCATCTGTTTCAGCTGTTTTTTGTTTGTTTGTATGTAGAGGCGCCATTTGTAATTGTTTGTACGTAGAGGCGTAGAGGCGCCATTTGTAAGTTGAAGCATTAGTTCCCATAGGAACTAATGCAAAACCGGTTAATCCGTCCTCTACCACTAGAGGGGATTTTTTAAAAATCTAAGATGATTTAGGTTAAAAAAAGGGCAGGAAAGGAGGGAGGGAACGAACAGCTTTTAAACAAAACACATTTAAAACCGAGCAGCTTTAAACCAAACCAAGCACCTTTTAAACCAATTTTTACATTTTAAAATTAGAGTACCAGGCAGTCCAAAGTCCATTTCTCGCTTCCCCCGTGGTTTTTTGTTCGTAAGTTGAAGCTTCGTTCGCAAATCAAAGCAAAATGTTGCGAACTGAGCTGTACATAAGTCGAAATGTTCGTATATAGGGGGGTTTGTAAGTCGAGCACCACTGTTTATGAAGCCAAGGAGTCTTCATGGTGTCAGATATCCACATTTAATAAGGCATTGATGCTTAAGGTTTATTACACAGACAGAGGCATGCCTTTTTCCCTTCTGCCTTCCCTTGGGTTTATTACCATCTCTGTGTTTGTAATGCAAGGGATTATCGGGGTGAGATGTTTCTTTTTTGGTTTATTTTGTGTACTCTGATGTAAGCTGCCTAGGGTAGTGGCTTGTTGCTAGATGTTTAAATAAATAAATGTTGCCCTTCTTCCGTACAGCAAATGAAGAAGATGAGAAAGCAAAGCAGACTGGCGCAGATGGAGAACGCCAGGGTGTAAAAAGACAAAGGGACGAGAAGGAAGAGCATGGCCGTGCTTACTTTGAGTTCCGAGAGGAGGCGTATAATAGCCGGTGAGATGTGGGGAATTTTGGTTGGGAATTCAAGCAGACAGAGGGTGGAACGTGACTCAGACTTGGGGGACAGGGCGCAATAGCTTGTGCAGGGGCTAACCAGTCTTGCCTAGTCGCTCTGCCTTCCCTTAACTAGAACTCCACTATCCACAGATAATTATTTTATTTTCCATGCAGATGTGCAGACTTGAATTCTCTGAACATTCAAAGCAAAACCAAGCGTGCTGTTTATGTACTGCCCCATAGTGCTGAAAGCACTTTTCTGGACAGTTTGCAATTTAATTATGCAGGCTACATGTGGTCTGCCTCCCCAGGGAGCTAAGTGCTCAGTTTACAGACCAAGGAAGGAAGGAAGGCTGAGTCAGCTTTGAGCCGGCTACCTGGGATTGAACCCCTGGTCCTGAACAGAGTTGTGGCTGCAGTACTGCTGTTTAACCACTATGCCATGAGGATCCTTTAGGTTGGGGGTCTCCTTCGGCCCTCAAAAATGTGGAAGATATATGATGTGATCCTCATATTGAAAAGTTTGGAGACCTCTGCTTTAGTTCATCACTAGCTTGTGTAATTCTGAATGTACAGTGGTACCTCGACTTAGGAACTTAATCCATATTGGAACGGCACTCATACGTCAAAAAGTTCGTAAGTCGAAGCACCATTTCCCATAGGAATGCATTGAAAAGCATTTAATCCGTACTGGCTGTTTTTTGTTCTTATGTCAAGGCGCTGTTCGCAAGTTAGAGGCATTCGTTCCCATAGGAACTAATGCAAAGCTGGTTAATCCGCACTCTTTGTTGCGTTGATACCACTTTCTCCGCTGTTATATACGAAAGCTTGCAGGACATTGTTGAATATTGGGAAACCCTATTGTCTTTGCAATCTTCTCTTTCTAGATGTGTGAAACCAGAATATTTACCATGGAGGAAACAGCTTGGCTGTGTCGCTTCCCACCATCCTCCTGGTTGTACTCTGAAGTATCACTTCCTGCCCCTCCCATAGCAGCTTGAAGGCTGTAGTAGGATCACCCAGTAGTACGAATTTGCATTTGCATGCAGATGTTCACGAGCTAAATATCTGCTCTAGCAGACCTGCTTCTGGTGTCCTGTGTAGGAAACACATCTTCAAAAAAGCTGTTACTAGTCAGTGTTAGCCACCAAACCAGCCAGTGGTCTAGCTCAGAGTAATGCAGTGTCATACGCTTCTTAGTTTGGTTATCAGGAGATGATAATGTGCTTTGCAGGTTTCACTGTTCACGCGCAACACCCCTGGAGCAGAAAGAACACTGTGAACCAACACATCTTAGGGAGCAGGATGATCATTTGGTTTAATAAATCTCCATTGCAACGTATATGTTTTTCTGTAAAGCTGTCGGGACACACGTATCTCACAAAGTAAACAACTTTGAAGCAAGGAGGAAGGAGAAAAAGTTTGTGTGTGTGTTAGAGAGTATTGTTGGGTTCTTTGCATTTCACATTTTTAACATGCTTGTATTTTGCTATTTCTTTTCCTCTGATATAGATCCAAGTCTCCACCACCACCAGAAGAGGAGCCTAGGGAAGAGGATGATGAAACAGTGGTGATCCTGGATACATGTATGTATTTGTTTGAGGCATTATGCAGTTATCCAGAACTGGATGATTTGGTGCCATACAATATATCCTCTAATTTTCAGCGCCACTGGGTGGGGCTCCGCCTTTCTCCTGTACAGCTCTGCACCCCTCACACGCTGGGTTCTGTCTTGACCAGAGCCTAATGCAGTTGCTGTGCAGAGGGAAGTGGAGGCATACACCTAGGTGCGTCCAGCTTAGCGGGAATCTTGGTGCCCTATATATACTTTGAACTTCAGCTCCCATAAACCGTGACCATCGGCCCTGCTCTGTGAAGTTTACTGACCTTGTAGACCCAAAACATCTCAAGGAAACTGGTTGTCTGCCACCTGGCCTAATCTGTATAATGACACATTCAGACATCATGCAGAGAAGAGTGAGTGTCAGGATATGGTTTGACCCATCTGGTAGATGTTGGTGTTCTTTAGGGCTAGCGTGAGTCGTACATGCTTTCTGAGAAGCTATTCTCGTGGCAATAAAGAAGACACACTTGAAGGCAGCTTTTATGCAAAAGCTTGTGTTGAGAACCGACTTAACATCGATAGTTTCATACTCCTCTATGCAGGTCTTGGCTTGGAAGGATTTAATCAGGAGTTAGAGACCAAGAAATCGAGAGACGCTAGGTGTTATCGAGGGGGTTAAAGTATTACAACAAACCTCAGAATCCGGCCACTAAATCAGCTGGTTTAGTTTTCTTCATGTGTCATTTTTAAAGATATAGCTCGTCCCCATCTCCTCTAAGGCCGTTGTCACTATCTTGGACGGTGCTTGAGCCCTGAACCTAACTGTGCTCTTGTTTTCATTTCTGGCAGATACCTCTGACCTCCACTTCAGAGCCACCAAGGATCGCTATGGAGGGCAGCCTCTGTTCTCCGAAAAATTCCCCAACCTTTGGTCTGGGGCCAGAAGCACACATGGTGTGAAAAAGGGGAAGGTCTGTTTTGAGGCAAAGGTAAGGATCTCTGCACCAGGAACCCGGCAATCCATCTTAAGCTTTTGCAGCTATTGTACCCATTGGATTGCTACAAAATCCAGATATTCCTATAATTTGTGCCTCGGGAGTTGCTCTTCCTTGTGAATGGCTTGGCATCTGGCACTTGAACACACCTCCAGGTCAGAGCAGGCTGGATGTTAGTACACAAAAAAACCCATTAAACACAAACACACATACCACTACCCAAGGCAATTCTTGTTTGTGTAGCTAATTGCCAAACATATGAACTTACTATACTTTTTGTTTTTATGGCTGTTTGGATCTGCAAATAATAGTATCTCAAACATCAAACATATTTTCATAAGTGTGTCTTGGGGCTGTCCTAAAAATAATTTACCAGTGAGTGTTTGGTTTTGTTGGTTTGTTCTGGTAATATATGCAACAAAATGCAGGATATGAAAATGGAGATATCAGACATTGGTGTGCTGGTAAGACAAGTGATTTTCATCTGCACAACGGCTGAAACTTGAGATAGGTACTTGATTGTTGCCATTGTGTTGTTTATATTTATTTGAGTTCTGTTTAGATTGCCTGGTAACAAAGACTCTAGGAGGCTCACTGTTTAAACAGAAAAAATAGAGCAATGAAAATAAAATCACAGAAGGCAACAAATGGCTAGAAGACATAAAAATGCACCACTTAAACGATGGTCAACTTGTGCTACTGTAGAATTGATTGCTGAAGGGGGAGTTAATGATGGTATTGGTTTGGACAGCTGTTGTGACTATTATCATCATGATAATAGGGATCAGATACAGAACAGATCCTCCCAATGACTTTGAATCCTAGGATCCTAGAATCCTAGAATAGTTGAGTTGGAAGTCCAACCTGCTCAAGGCAGGAACCCAAATCAAAGCAGATCTGACAGGGAGTTGTCCAGTACTCTCTTGAATACCTCCAGCATTGGAGCGCCCACCCTCTCCTGAGGTCATGAGTTCCATTGTCATACTGCTTTAACAGTCAAGAAGTTTTTCTTGATCTTCAGCCGAAATCTGGTTTCCTGTCGCTTGAGCCTATTAAATAAACTAATTGTGTCATTTATTAGACGCATTAGTCAGCAGGTGAAATCGACCAGGGCTTTCTGACAGACATCTGCAGCAGCTCTTTTTGTTCTTCTGCCTCAGGTGACACAAAATCTCCCCCTGAAGGAAGGCTCCACAGAGAACCAACTGCTTCGTGTCGGGTGGTCTGTTGATCTCTCTCGATCACAGCTAGGTAAGTGGCCCCGTCTTTTCAGGCAGCCTCGCAGTGGAGCTCAGGTGCCGCTGCTGCCGCTGTTACCTGGGGGAATCCCGATGCACAATATGAAAATGGAGATATCAGACATTGATGTGCTGGTAAGACAAGTGATTTTCATCTGCACAACGGCTGAAACTTGAGATAGGTACTTGATTGTTGCCATTGTGTTGTTTATATTTATTTGAGTTCTGTTTAGATTGCCTGCTAACAAAGACTCTAGGAGACTCACTGTTTAAACAAAAAAAAATTAGAGCAATGAAAATAAAATCATCACAGAAGGCAACAAATGGCTAGAAGACATAAAAATGCACCACTTAAACGATGGTCAACTTGTGCTACTGTAGAATTGATTGCTGAAGGGGGAGTTAATGATGGTATTGGTTTGGACAGTTGTTGTGACTATTATCATCGTGATTCCTGTAAGACTTTAAAACCACACTTCATCCAGAAAGTCAGGAATCAGATACAGAACAGATCCTCCCAATGACTTTGAATCCTAGGATCCTAGAATCCTAGAATAGTTGAGTTGGAAGTCCAACCTGCTCAAGGCAGGAACCCAAATCAAAGCAGATCTGACAGGGAGTTGTCCAGTACTCTCTTGAATACCTCCAGCATTGGAGCGCCCACCCTCTCCTGAGGTCATGAGTTCCATTGTCATACTGCTTTAACAGTCAAGAAGTTTTTCTTGATCTTCAGCCGAAATCTGGTTTCCTGTCGCTTGAGCCTATTAAATAAACTAATTGTGTCATTTATTAGACGCATTAGTCAGCAGGTGAAATCGACCAGGGCTTTCTGACAGACATCTGCAGCAGCTCTTTTTGTTCTTCTGCCTCAGGTGACACAAAATCTCCCCCTGAAGGAAGGCTCCACAGAGAACCAACTGCTTCGTGTCGGGTGGTCTGTTGATCTCTCTCGATCACAGCTAGGTAAGTGGCCCCGTCTTTTCAGGCAGCCTCGCAGTGGAGCTCAGGTGCCGCTGCTGCCGCTGTTACCTGGGGGAATCCCGTGCTCAAGATGCAGCTGTAGTAAGTGTTGCTCTCTTGCAGGTGAGGATGAATTTTCTTATGGCTACGATGGACGAGGGTTGAAGGCTGAAAATGGGCAATTCGAAGACTTTGGTCAGCCCTTTGGGGAGAATGATGTGATCGGTTGCTTTGCTGTAAGTGTAGTGAGCAAAGGCCTTTAGGCCAGCTCTCGATGGGCCTCTTCGGTCTCTTCGGAGTAGGCTGGGTAGGGGAAATGAAGCTGTATGCCACTAAAGAGTCACTCCTAATGTAAAGTTAACTCCTGCTCTACCTGTTGGGGAAAAACGATGCATTGCATGTGCCTTCTTGAGGACTGCGTTGATGTTTCTTGCGAGAGTCTCCTCCCACCTGGCTGGGGTTGGTCCTCAGGACACGGAAAAGCCAGCCTTGCCTCCCCTTGTCTTCAGAAAGCTCCTGAATTGTTCTTGTGACACTGCATGTTCGTGTGAGCACCAGACGCGCCCGTTCTGCGAGTGGGCTGCTGGCCTGATACTTGTGTCTTCTCCCGCCTTGCAGAATTTTGAAAGCGAAGAGGTGGAGCTGTCCTTCTCCAAAAATGGGGAGGACCTGGGCGTCGCCTTCCGGATCAGCAAGGAGCTTCTGGGCGACAGGGTACTGCTGCCCCACGTCCTGTGCAAGAACTGTGCCGTGGAGCTGAATTTCGGGCAGAAGGAGGAACCTTTCTTCCCCATTCCTGAAGACTACGTCTTCATCCGTGCCGTCCCTGTTGAGGATCGGGTGCGCATGCCCGTGCCCCCCAAAACGTCTGGGGAGTGCGAGGTAATTTTGCTTGGACCCTGAAACAATTGTCTGTAATACTGTTTCTCCCCTCTTTGCCATTGGGTTTCTTCTTTGGTCAGTAGTTCAGTGGTGGAGCGCTGTACCTTTTTACGTTTATTTCCAAAGGGGTGGAGATCTGATCAGTGTCCTGTTTAGCAGGCTGTGGTGGGGACAGGGAGGACACTAAACTTCCCCTTTTTCCCAATGGGCACCTTCCCCCAAAACCTGCTAGATGACTTGACGGCACTTGATTATTATTAAGTTGATTCCATCTTATGATACCAGCCGTTTCCAGGGTTTTCTAAGTAGAGAGCGCTCAGAAGTGGTGTACCCCTCCCTTCCTCTAGGGGCACTGTGGAACTGTGCAGCTTGCCCAAGGCCACCCAGGCTGGCTCTTTTCCTACAAGGCATCTTAGGAATTGAATTTGGCAGCCAGATACCTAACTCGCTGAGCTATCCAGCCAGGATCCTTACTTGAACTAGAAAACCATATCTCCTCTTTATTCACTTCTTTTCTTGGATGTGTTCTTCTTCATCTTATCTTTCATCAGGCTCAGGATATACCCCAGAAAGCAAGGGAGGATGGTGAAATCTAAAGTGTTTTTAACCTTTTTTCAAATATCAGATGATGGTGTCTTCCTTCCTTTCCTACTTCCCAATCCTGATGGAGTGATGGAAGGAAGATCAATGCCTAGTACAGTGATGCCTCGCTAGACAATGATAATCCGTTCCACTGAAATTGCTGTTTAACGAAGTCATTGTCTAGCGAAAAGCATTTCCCTATTGGAATGCATTGAAACCTGTTTAATGCGTTCCAATGGGGAAGAATCATCTGATCGGCCATAGGAAAGCTGCTTTGCGAACCGCCAATCAGCTGTTTAAATAGCTGTCTTGCGAAGCTTAGATCTCGAAAACACCCGCTTTGCGAGCGCAGAGGGACCTGTCAAAATCATCATCTAGCGAAAATCGGTTTGCGAAGCAGGGACCAAACATTGTCCAGCGAAATTCCCCCATAGGAATCACTGTTTTGTGAATCGCTATAGCGATCGCAAAAAGTCAATGTCTAGCAAAAAAACTGTCATGCGGGGTAACTGTCTAGCGAGGCACCACTGTACTCACCACTGAGAGCCAGTGTGATCTAGTGGCTGCAGGGTTGGTTTCACCCAACCATAAAATCCATGGAATGTGACCTTGGGGCGCTTGCAGAACCTGAGTTGTACCTTTTTATGGTTTCACCCAACCATAAAATCCACGGAGTGTGACCTTGGGGCGCTTGCAGAACCTGAGGGTGGGGGTGCTGCCTCACAGTCTTGTTGTGTGAGGCTGAAGTCTTGCAGAGGATGACGATGATGTCTTGCAGAATCTGCCCAATCCAAAAGTGCCATCTTCCTCTCACCGATGTCCTTCTAAACTGGGGGAGGGGAGCTTGCTCACTTTCTCTTCCCGTTCCAGGTGTTGCTTATGGTTGGCCTGCCAGGATGTGGGAAAACCCACTGGGCACAAAACCACATCCAGGAAAATCAAGAGAAGCGTTACAACATTTTGGGGACAGATGCCATTCTGTACCAGATGAAGGTAAGGAGGCAGAAAAACACTCCGATGTTTTCCCAACCCAGGTTCGGTGTGTTGAGCAGAGGGTTGGACTCGATAGCCTTAAAGGTCCTTTCCAGCTCCATTATTCTGTGGTTCTCTGTATCCCCTGTGAAAAACCGTTCTCGTTTTTCTCACTAGTCACTGGTCTCTTTTGTCTCAGCTGGCCTGTGTTGCTGTTTTTAGTGTCTGTGCATGCAAGTGTGTGTCCTCCTTCCTTAAATAGTTATTCACGTATTTTTGAATTTATTTATTTGAAATTATACCCCACTCATTTAGTAGACAAACTGGGCAGCTTCCAAGAAAATAACATAACTGTACAACATAAATTAAGATGATAAACATATAAAAACAAATATACATTTTTCAGGATTCAAAAGGGTGAAACAGCCTTCTTCTTCAAGAGATGCTCTTTTAAATACCCTGCATAAGTTATAAAGGGAAATTTCGGCCTGAAGTGTAGGCAGTTGTGGCCTTCTAGATACTATTGAACGGTAACTTCCGTAAGTTCCAGTCAGCATCATTGGTGGCTGAGTACGGCGAGAGCTGTTTTAAGACATCCAAAACCGTGGTTCCCCACCTTGGGTCCCCAGGTGTTGTGGGACTGCAATTCCCAGAAACCCTGGCCAGCAGAAAGAAGACTTATGGGAGTTGCAGTCCAAAACCCCCTGAGTTACCCAAGATTGGAATCCACTGATCTGGAGAATCACAGTTGCCTCTCGCCTGCCTACATTAATTAGAAGCAAAGCATAGCATGCCGCTTATATATTGCTCCATACGTAGTGCCTAAAGCATTCTGGGCAGTTTGCAATGGAATTATGCAGGCTCTACGTTGCCCACCCACGCCTAGCAAGCTGGGTACTCAGTTTACCTTTCATACCCCCCTTGGCTAAAGCAAACACTTCGAGCTTTGCATCGCCTTCAACTGTATTTGGAAGCCAAGATATTGTTTCATTCATCTGTTTTGCTGCAGAACTAGAGGTGGTGGCAGGTACGCGCGGCAGGCAACCAGCTCCTTGGCTGACTCTAGCTTTCTAATCTCTGTGCGCTTGCAAAGAGCCAGCTGGGGGCAAGAACAAAACCTCAACTCTGGACTTATCCCTATTTCATTGTTGCATAAAGTGGCTGTGGAAGGAACAGCCTGGGAGTTTATCACTGTTAGGCAAAAGAGGATGGACTTCAGACTTGTGGAGAGAGGGAGGGAGGGAATCCTCAGTCTGAATTCTTGAACGCTTGCGGTGTGAGTGTAGGCTTGTGTAGCAGACATTGTTCCTTAGGTTTATTCCTTCTGTCTCCTTCTCCGCCTGTTTCGGAAATGTCTTCTTTTTAACGGCATCCGTTTATTTCTCTTCTCAGACGAGGGGTCCCGTAGCTGAAGAAGCTCTGGACGTGGCCGCCCGAGACCAGCTGCTTCAGCAAGCCGCCCGTTGCGTTAGCAAGCTTGTCCAGATTGCCCCCAGGACGAGGAGAAACTTCATTCTTGATCAGGTATCTTTACTTCAAAGTCAATCTGGGGAGGTGGAGAGTTAACCACTTCCAACAATAGGAACAAACATGAGGGGTTTTTCCCGACCTCTCACTTAGATGAAGAAGATTCTTGCCTGTTAGTGGTTTTTTAAAAAAATCTTTATGTGGTGAATGGGTCCCGTGTGTGTGTGTGGCTTCCGCCCTTCTGCAGTTTGCAGCAGGAAAGTTTGCTTTCTTACAAAGGTGCAACATAAGCTCCCCACAGCTGCCCTCTGTCCCAGTGCTGAAAACCTTTGAGTCTCCCCCTTAGCCTTGATGTGCTTAATGAAAGGCTGGAGATGCAGCCCTCTAAGTCATCCCATGTTCCTGACTAATGTCAGGAGCCAAAGTGCTCTGGCCTTCTGCTCTCCCTTTCTGTGCCAGCATGATCCTGTTTGTTGCTGTTAGATGCTGTCTCTCAGTCAGCAGGGAAAAACCTTTGAGTCCAGACAGGCTTTTGACAAGTAATTTCCTGCAAAGGGTTGGTGGGCGGGTGTTAATTAGGGTGCAGAGTTGTATTTGTAGGCTTTTAAATATGTTTCTAGACGCTTTCACATTGCTTTTAGTTTTAATATGTTCTGTGCTTAATGGCTTTTTAATATTGGCACATACGCCAGTGGTTTTTGCCTCCCAAAAATGTTGCATGACAGCGGTCCCCAACCTTTTTGGGATCGTAGACCGGTTGTGGGGTGCGGGGGAGAGCCGTGTTCACAACCCAGTTCCAGGGACCCCATAGACCGGCACCAGGCCACAGACCAGGGTTTGAGGACTCCTGTCGTATGTCATTGTTGAGTATACGTCAGTGGTTTTTGCCTCCCAAAAATGTCGTATGACAGCGGTCCCCAACCTTTTTGGGACCGTAGACTGGTTGTGGGGTGCGGGGGAGATCCATGTTCGCAACCCAGTTCCAAGGACCCCACAGACCGGCACCGGGCCGCAGACCAGGGGTTGAGGACTCCCTGTCGTATGTCCTTGTTGAGTCCCGTTGCAAGAAGTCACTGTTGTGGTTCCACCCAGCTTGTGAGCCTCCAGAAGGATCTTGACTAGCCCCTGGGAGTGTGTGTGTGTGTGTGGGGGGGAGGGAACAGGATGCCTGTTCTATATGCTGGCGGTGGAGAGGGTGCCGATGGGAGTTGTAGTCCAAATGCTAGGATCAGGAGGGCCAACGGTGCATTTTGACCGTGCCCTGCTGTGTTTGCAAGGCATTCCTTAATGCTGTTTGCCTGGTGCTTTGCTGTAGTGCTCTTGGCAGCTCAGAGACTTGTTTCCCCCCCCCTTTTCCCTCCCTCTCTTTCTCAGTGTAACGTCTATAACTCTGGCCAGCGGCGGAAGCTACTGCCCTTCAAAGGCTTCATTCGCAAGGTGATGGTGTTGGTCCCCAGTGAGGAGGCCTGGAAAGAAAGACTGGAGCAGAGGAAGGAGGCGGAAGGAGACGACGTGCCTGAGTCGGTGATGCTCGAAATGAAAGGTAGGCTCCTCCGAAGCCCCGAGGACTCACACGGTACTGGTGCAGGAATTTTTTTCCACCTGCTCCAGCATGAAACGTTCCTGAATTTCTTCTTCTGTTTCCGCCCGATCCCAGCCAACTTCTCTCTTCCGGAGAAGTGCGATTACATAGACGAAGTCCTGTACCAGGAGCTGGCCAAGGAGGAGGCCCAGCCTCTCGTCACCAAATACAAAGAGGAGGCCACGAAGCTGCTCCCGCCCTCCGAGAAGCGGACCAACCGGCGCAACAACCGCAACAAACGGAACCGCCAGAACCGCAACCGCGGCCAGGGATATGGTGAGGTTTCGAGGGGGGCTGAGCGGCTTCCTGAAGGGGAACCTGCTGGCGCTCTTCCTTCCTTGTGGGCTCCCTCGCCCTTGCCCTGCCCAGGGTCCGAAGGGAAATCCGTGGCCCTCTGAGAGCTGCCCTTGTGCAGAGGCCCTCTCCCCTCCTCTTTCCTGCACACACTCCAGTCTCCTTGCCCTTTCTGTGCAGAGGCTGAGGCTCGCTAGTGGGTGAGAAGCAGCAGGTTATGGAGCAGGCCTGTAGACGACTCGGCTCTGCCAGTCCAGTGGATTTTGCTCAGGTTCGAAATCCGTGGAACTCGTGTATCCTTACAGTTACACAGTCCATCTTCTTAGGCCCTTTGCCTGACACCGTGGACCCGATCCTTAAGAGCCCCAGCCGCGCTTCCTTCCTTCGGTTCATGGTCACCCAGAGGGTGCCTCCCAAAACTTGCTCTGTGTCATTTGCCCCATCCTTTTGTTTTTAATGTGTCCCATCCCTGAATCCCCTCTGGGGGGACCTCTTCTCCTTTATTTTATATTCCTCTCTCTTTAATGTAGATCAATGACCCATTTGGCTTAAGGAGAGACGGGTCCCCCTTCACTTGCTTTTTTATGTAGTCCTTTTCTGGGCTCTGCTGTACAGCATCTTTCTCGGTTTCCTCCTCTTAACGCAGTTTCCAATGAACGTCCGTGTCCAAGACGTTTGCAATTCTGGAACTTCCTGAGCTTGGCTTTTCCCCTCAGTTTCTCCTCCACTCCCACCCCTACCCCCCGCTTATTGCTTAGGGGCCTTCTCTGTCCCGTTTGCTCCGTTCACTGGCAGAAGTCCTCTCTGCTACCACCGAGGAAGTCGGATTTTATTGTTCTTTGGCAGAAAAGCGGAAGTTTTAAATTCTCACTGAGAGCAGTTTTTTGTTTTTGTTTTGTTTGGTTTTTTGTTTTTGTTTTTTGTTTTTGTTTTTGTTTTTCTCGGCAGCCTGGTCCAGGCCTCCCAGTATGCAGCACCCCCCCGGGCTGCGGTGTGAGTAGCACCATGCTCTGTGGGAGGGGAAGGAGGGAGGGAGGGGAAGCATGGGGAAGCGGGAAAGGGTGGTGTTGGTTTGGGGATTAAGGGGGAGGCAGCAAGAGATCTGGATGGAGTTCAGATTTGCGGAGAATTTGCGGTGCCAGGCGCCTCAAACTGTCCCCATAGGACGTAACTTAGGAACCTCTGGACTTAGTAAACGAGGCTCCACGGGCCGGTGACTGCACGGAGAAGCTTTTGCTGATCCTAAGGCATTTTGTCCATGGCAAGTGTTATCTTGCATACTTGATCCATGTCTCCTGGAACAGTGAATTGCTCAGCTCCTGTGTCTTGAGTTCCCTTAGTTTGTGCTGTAAGAACCTGTGGCTTCCCCGCAAATAGAGGCACCCAGTGGGCCGCCCCAGGAGTTCTTTCAAAGGGTCGCATTGCATTTTTACGGTATTTTAATCGTATGACGTTGTTGTACATGGCGAACCCCACCCAGAGAATGAGAACACGAATGGGGGTGGTATAGAAGTGGAAGTAATAAGTAGTTTAGAAGTACAGTTTGACCCCCTTCTTTGTCTTGTGTTTTCTTCAGTTGGTGGCCAGCGCCGGGGTGGCTACAACAATCGGGCGTATGGTCAGCAGCAGCACCAGCAGCCGCAGCAACGGCAGCAGTACTGGGGACAGCCTGGAAACAGAGGCGTGAGTATATCTCCGGCTTGCCGTTTATCCCATTTCAGACGTCGACTTGGTTCTTAGGCAAAGAGGGCTAAGATTGTGTCCGAGACATTTTCCTCTGAAGGTCCAAAAACTGAACACACTTTTACCGGAAAGGTTAATATTTAAGCTTGTTGATTTCAGAGGTGTAGAAAAATCGACCCGGATAGTTTGAAACCTGCTCTCCTGGTTTTAAGGGATTGCCCAGTTTGGTGCAGGGTTTGGATGATGACGTCCTTGACTCCAATCCGTTGCTTTAACTTGCAGGGCTACCGTAACTTCTATGACAGATACAGCAGAGGTGGTGGGGAATACAACCGCTTCTATGGACGTGATTATGAGTACAACAGATACCGAGATTATTACAGGGACTACAATCAAGAGGTAAGGGTCTGTGAACCCCTGTTTCAGAGTTGCAGTTCCTCCTGGCTGGGAGTGCTCGTTGGTCTCCTGTCTCCACTCTCACTCTGTCGAAAGACAGTCCCTTGGTCTCTGCTCCTCTATATACCATACTGTTTCTGTGTCATGGCGGGTGGAGCTTGGCCAGCTGGCAGGCTTGCATTTCAGACTAGAGAAGCTGTGACAGTAGACAAAGGGGTATGGGTGGGTCGTTGGGTGCGAGTCTGAGACCATAAAGTCATGCCGGACAGGAGTAAAATCCAGCATTCTGTTCAGAAACTGCCAGTTTGCCATAGTTTTGGTGCAAAAAATACAGTTAAAGTTGAAAGATGCATCAAAGCTGCATTTATTGTCTGGGAAACACAGCCACCAAATCATCCCCATTGTTGTAGACTTTGTAGTAATGTGTGCATTCTCTCTGCCTCCCATTTCTCCTCACTGACTTTTCTAAAATAGGACCTTAAGCCGTGGCTACTGCCTAACCTGAGTTGGGGGATCAGTGTGTAAACAATGCAAGCTGGTGTCTGTGTAGACTTTAGCCATAAAGTGCCGGGCGTCTAGTTTCGGAAGGGATCTCAAACTTTTAGCTTAGACTGCCCAGTGACTACTTTATTGTCCTTTTCAGTGGCAGAACTACTACCAAGACAGAGACCGATATTACAGGAACTACTACGGCGGCTACCAAGGGTACCGGTGAAACCCTGATCATCTCTACCCTTCAGCCAAGCCTTGAGGCTCTACCGAGAGGGAAGGGTGCCTACGACTTCCTGAGATACCAAGCAGT